TTTCTGAGGTTTTATGGAGCCCGGTGGACCAGAGACTAATCAGTTGAAGCCGCTTGCTTCAAAGCACTGACTTACTGTAGCAGCTATTGGTGGGATTTATCCTCAAAAGCACTGCTAAGATGAAACCAGTTGTTTGGTAAAATAGGAATATTAATATTAATAGCCATTTAACAATTTAGGGCACTGAGAATGTTTTAAAACACAAATTGCAGAAGAAAAAAATCATACATGAAAAATTACAAAAACTTACTTAATTGGCTATATTTATATGTTGAAAAAAAGGTGAGGTACACTTTGAGTATTAAAGAATTAAAGGAGGCGTCAATAAAGGAAGAGTTAAGCAAGTCAAGGAATGTTGAGCTAGTCACTACTTCTTACTAGCAACACTTAAAGTGACAATGTCAATAAGATCTACATATATACATATAAAACTAAGAAAATAATAAATACAATTGCATGCATCTCTATTTCCTTCACTTGATTGGTCCTCCCCTTGATTAAAAAAAGCAATATGGCTTTTTAAACTTTGATCTGAAGACTGTTGATAAAGACCCATATACATAGATAAAGTTGCATCCATACATGGTAGGACTTGAGTTAGAGAGAAAATGTTGCCTCTTTTTTAAACTTTTTTTTTTACACTTTTTATGTTTACGATTCTACATGTAATTTCTCAAATATTCACGTAGAATTCAGAATCATGGACAAGTTTCAGATATTACAGGCTAACAATGAAACCAAACAAACTGCTCGTCGGTTTCAATTTGCATGTTTCCAAGCAATACAAGGCCTTGTCTATATAAAGCCTCAAACTCACTGCGGTTCCAGACATTTGAATTGATAAAAGCTTCCTGGAGGGGAAGCGAAACATCTTCAAACCTTGGAAACCAAGTCCAGTGGATTGTTTTTAAACTTTTTTACGGGATTCACGTAGAATTATTTACAGATCAGGTCGTCATTGCTGTTGGATATTAATTGTGAAGCTTTACTGGCAGTAGAATGTGAGGACATTCTGTTGGTTTCCTCGTATTAGAACAGCAGGGCAGTGAAGGCCACAGGTCAGGGTGTCCAGCCAGGCCATGTAGAGAGCACTGGGACAGTCACTTTGAGGAACTGGAAGGCTCCTGGAAGGAGATAGCAATTGATGGGAAATAATAAAATCAGTGGTTTAAATATAGTATACTGTTAGTAGATTAGCTTAGTTAGCTGCACATGCTTATTTCAGCCGTTGCTATACACAATATGTTTATATTTTGTACTCACACTAGAACAAGAGCTGTGTGTTGTGAATTCTTCCGAATGATTTCATTCAGCCTCACTTTTCTCTCAGACTGTAAAATCAAAAAAGAAATACAGATGGCTGTTACATATTACCCAAAATATTGATATTTTACTAAGAATTTACTAAAATATTTTACTAAGAACTTTTCTTTTTTGTGAACAAATATCTAGCTAAACATACCTTGAGCTTAAAGGCCTCAAATTCTTTGTCAGATACTTTCCATGGAGCATTATGTCTGAGTTCCTGCACTGAGGCACCTTCCTGCTGCCCATCGTACAGCCTGAAGGGGGCGACACTGTCCACAAACCTGCTCCGGCTGGAATAAAGACAATAAAGTTTTTTTTGAGAAGAACAAATACAGCTTCTAGGATTTGAAAGACGAAGAAAAAATACCTATAAAAGCTAAAAGGTCTTTTTGAGTATCAATTTATTAGCATTTATCTGTTGTTTTGTTGATACCAGAAGCAACAATTTTATAAGCAACAGTTAAAGTGCCAAAAAGAAGTATATTGTACTGCCAAAAGTGTGTTTAACATATCATCTAAAAGTATTTCTGAGGAGAGTTGCAATTGTTTATAACTTTATTAAGAAAGAAAATCAAACGAACAAACTCGTGCCTGACAATAATGTCCTGGTTTTTTTTATTTTTATAGTTTTCCCAAAACACCTTTTTTAATGCAGTTTTATAATTAGTTCAGAACAGTTTACTAATTGAGAANTGCAGGTAATCCATAAAGCTGCTGCGTATATCCTCTGTAAAACTAAGATAGTGGAGCACATCACCTCAGTTCTAAAGTCCTAATGTTGGCTTTAGGGATCTTAAATACTACTACTGTTAGTCTATAATGCAATGAATGCCTTAAATAGAGGCTCTAAAAGTGTTAATCCAACATTAATGCATTGACCTCTTGGCACAAATGAAAAGTGGCATTAGGGTGCTACTGCAGCTGGTCTGCCATCAATGGAAACAAGGGTGTGAGCTAGCGAATAAAAAAAAATCTTTTAGAGTTCAACTTTGGTAGATTATGAATAGAAAAAAGGTGCATTTAAAGATTGTTGGAGTTTAATAAAAACACACATCCATATATTCTGATCAAATCTCCACTTTCAGAAACATCTGTTAATTGATTCAATGGTTCATAGAACAGCAATCATTTAACTTGATTATAAGTGTTAAGAACACCCACATATTTTTAACTTGCAATGCTCATAAATGATTGACTCAGAAACGCTTTTTCCACATAAATTGTTTTTAATCAGTAATACAATGCAGTATTAGTGATCAACACATGAAGCTTATTAACTCGTGGAAAGAAAAACACCTCCACACCTAATGTCAGAAGCTGACATTATTCGGTTAATCATCTTACAGTCGGATAAAGTAAAGAATGGTTTCTGTTTCAACAGGAGTAAAGCATGAAAAGGATCACTTATAGAAACTATAAAGGACATGTAATCTAAACCATGTTATGTAATTTCCACTTATTTAGAAAAGGGGGAAGCAGATCTGGCAAATCTGGGTCAAGCAATGGCTGTTAAACTATAGATAAATCCATAAATTAACCTTCAAAATAAAGACTGCTACATGTTTATTTCAATTTCAACTGATAAACCTTTGCCCTTAAATCTTAGAACAAATAAAATTTAACTCCTCTCCCCCGTTTTTTTGGAACCACTTATGTTGTCCACCAGTGTCCATGGCTGCAGAAACGTTGCAGTCATCAATCTCTCCATCTGAGTTCTGAGTTCTGCTAGTGACCCCCTCAGGACAAACCCAGACCCAGAACTTCTTAGTGCAGTTATAGCGCAGTGCTA